GAACTCAGGGAGGCAGGGATGGGGGTGCTCAGAGAAGTCCCTTCTCTCCTCCTGGGCCTCAGTTTTCTCATCTGAGAAATGGCAGCATAATCACCATCTCTGGCTCATTTGAATGTTTAAAACAGGACCCAAAAAAAGTGGGGGGACATCTGGACACAGTAAAGCCTCAACTCTACACTCTGCTGGGCTGACGGGGGCTGGAGAAGCTAAAAGACCAGGGACCCATTATGTGACAGCTTCAAAGTTAAAGCCCACCCTCTACCCTGTAAGGAACACTGTGGTTGAATACCCATTTTACAGATGATCAGACTGAGGCCCAAGGCCCTCCCCAATCTCATTTCATGCAGACACACACACAGAGAGGCAAGAGACCCACAGAACAACGAACTCCCGGCCTCTGCTTTCCACTTGTTCAATGACACAAAGCTCTCCTTGGCCCCCAAGAACAGCGATGCCACTTTTCTTTCAGTCTTCCTCTCTTTCTTTCCCCCACCCCAAGGAGTTGTGACTTTTTAATAGAAGTTGGTTCGTGCACAGGCGTTTTATTCCTCAATTAATTTCCATCTAAATGAGGTTTTCCCGGAGATAACCAGTGTTTTAGTTCCATTTGCGCTTCATTTGTATGACTGAAGCCTCCGTTTCTGCCAATTCCAATTTGCTCGGCGATTCCAGTCTCATTACCTGGGTGCTAACGCCCCCATGGCAGACAGCCACCCCAGAGCAGGGGAGGAGAGTGCGCAATTTCCAATACCAAATTTGAGTGGGGTGCAAAGGACCTCTCTTCGACCCAGTTGCACTCAATAAATAGGAAACAAAATTATTAAGCCATGTCTGGGTGAGGGGCCCCCATCATGGTATTTACAACGGGCAATCACGGCAACCAGAAACACATGAAACAGAAGAACAGCACGTCCACCTCAGCCCCAGCGGAAACAAGGAGTTCGGGATCACTGGCTCATTCATGCACAAGGAGAAGGAACGGGCCTCACGGAGCCTTGTTAGATGATGCAGAATCCAAGGCTAGTGCAGGCTCGTTGACTGATCTCAGTGGGCCCCAAGAGGTAGGGAATTGGGGGGACCTTGTGTATTTGTTTTGTTTGTATCAGAGAGGGGGCTGGGAAATGACATTTGCTGGAGCAGAAAACAGAACAACGTGGAGGAAAGACAGACTGTAGTGGAGGGTCATGGGAGCCAACATAGAGGAAGAAATGAGGGAAGTGGAATTTGAGGAGAAACCATTTGAATCTATGGAAGCTCCCTGAATTCGGATCTTTTCAAGCGAAGCCTCTTGGGAAAGAGGGAGGGGTACGTGTAAATGGAGTGATGGGGAGGGGGCGCTTTCTGGGGCAGAAAAATCCCCTTTGAATCTTGCAGGTTAGTATTGTTTTCTTTCTGGAAGCTCAACCAGCCTAGTGGGACCTATGTGTTTTTGGAAGAAGGCTTGGTGTTGGCTTGTCTGAGCGAGCTAAAGTTGTCTCTGCTTACACTCTTGTGCGGGAGAACCTCCTAAAAGGTTCTTCTGCTAGTTTGCATTCTCTTCGACATCTCCACCAAGTCACTCTGTGGTTAGAGTTTGGTCCAGGCCTTCGGCCAACACTTTGACTTGGATCTGGAGAATTGCATCTCTCTGAGCTGGGCACTTTGGTCCAGAGGAAAGGGACTCTTTGACTGAGTCCCTTTGAGGGTCTTGAACCATAGGTCCTCACTGACGTAGGACTAGGAAGCAGCGGCCCAAAGCAAAGGATACTGAGATTGATGTTAGCAGAGAGTCAGACCTACAAGGGTCCACCAGGATTCTGGCTAAGCAGCACCCCAACAAGTGTTTTCACATGGAAATGTGGAGGAAGTTAGAGGAACACACCAATAGAGAGAGGGACCCGGGTTCAGATATTTCCCCCATTCCCCGTGTATTTAAGGAGTACTCATGCTAACTTTCACCAGGCTAGAGAGACTCCCTTTGAGGAGAAACAACCAGGGAGATTACAAAAGTCACCCCACAGGCATCTGAGGGATGACTTGGGATGGTCCAACGGGTCTGCTGTGGCCAGCAGGTGGGAGATGCTGCTGATAGACTGTAAGGTGCCTGCATGCTGGTCCGTCTGTGGGCTCTGGAGTGACCTTCTTGGTGGTGGTGCTGGGGAGGGGGGTTGTTGGTAACCTCTGACTATTCCTTTCATCTTTTAAATATTTTCCTAAGTTCATAAAGAGATTTGTGCTTCCTCCCCCTCCCCCTGATGGAATATGGCTAAAAGGGAAAAGAAAGGCTTTGGCTTTGTGTCTCTTTCCCAGAATGGCTGCTATGTGGTGTGTGTGTGTGTGTGTGTGTGTGTGTGTGTGTGTGTGTGTGTGTGTGTACGGCAGAAGGAATAGCGCCACCTCCAATACTGAAGATGATGAGAAATTTGCTAGGCAGAGTCTGAGCCAGTGTAACATGAAACCTTCCAGTGTGCCCCAGATGCCAGAGAACAGTTGGAGCGGGGAGGGGCTCTCCTCATCCCTCTCAGCTCTATTTCAGCTCTGCTCTCTCCAGATAAGAAGGGACTCAGCTCCCAGTGTTAAAGCAGAAGTCATTGTCACTGGCCCATGGTCTACCTAAATGCAGACAGTGGCTCTGACGAGCGTTTTTAGTCCACAGAGAGATAGCATCTCTGCCTGCCAAAAGGACTATCACAGGCCATGACTCCACAGGTGACTCAGACTCTGACCCGGCCACGTGACCTGTGACGCCATCTCAGCTCACAGGTCACTTGGCCATTTCCCCTTCCAGCTACATCCATGAGGAAGTGGTGGGCAAGGAACTAGGGTCCAGGCCCAGACCTCCATTGCTCTGAATGGTGAACCTCGGCTCTGAAGTGCTTCCGGGTCAATATCCAGTGTCTCAAATCCCATCCATGGAGACACGAGTAAGAGAAAATAGAGGCATAAAAATCACCGAGAAGTTCTCCCCGCAACCCCCCCCCCGAACACACACACACACACACACACACACACACACACACACACACACCCTTTTCATATAAATAAATAAATAGCTGAATACTGCAAATGGCAACTGAGGGTGAGACAGAAAAGTCATCACATAAATAAATAAATAAATAAACATAAATAAAATAAATAATAAATAACAGGTTTGCTAGAAGCCCCAAGTGACACAGGCCCTTGGAGTTGGGGGTACGGAATTTGGGTTTCTCCCTGCTGTCCTTTGGAGGGTGTGCGGCTCCTGGGACCCTCTGTTGGATGCCAGAAGGAGATGCCGGTGTGGGCATAGAGAGCCGGCAGGAAAGGATATTTACAGGCGCTGTACATGTCCTCCCAGGGCGCCGCCACCAACCTGCGGCCTGCTGTGGTCACTGCGTGGACATCCAGCGGTGTCAGCAGCTGGGACTGCAGCCTGGTGGGAGTCCAGATCCCACGGCCACCCAGACTGCCTCCTTTTGCTCTTCTTCTGAAAGAGTTGGGGAACCCTTGTACCAGGATCCCGGGACTGAGATGATGGGCAAAAGGAGGGTGAAGAGGGGGCACGGCCCTGTTTCATGACACTAGATGTTTTCTGAATATCTTCCCTGAGGAGCTGAGGGAGGGGGAGGCTGGGGCCCCCAGACCTTCCCTCCTCACTTCCTTTGCTCCTGCCCTCTGTGTCCAGCTGCTCTTGCCTCCACAAACTGGCAAACTCACCCGCTGGGCTATGGAGAGCCAGGCAGCGGCTGAGGGGGATGCCCGAGAGTTTATTTTAAGAAGCTTCTGCCTCCGGCCCCTGCCCTCCGGCCTGCTGGGGACAGAGCAGCTGGTGGCCTTTGTGTGTCAGGGATCAACTTTCCCTCTTCACCCAGCCCCAGTGGCAGAGGAAAGGTGGGGTAAGGGCAGAGATGTAGGTGGACCTTCCCAAATGGACAAGAGGTCCCAGAAGCCCAGGTCTCGGGAGAGGCAGAGTTAAATCTAAATGGTGGCGTGCCCGAGCCCTTCCTGCCTCCAACTCCCTGGATTTGGGTCCTTCTCCCCAAACCTGACTAGCTATGCCCCCACCTGGGTATGATTCCTGAGAGGCAAAGAGGGTGGCTGAGGCCAAGGGCAGGGGGAACTGGGCAGCTTGGGTATGGTTCAGGTCACTGCAGCCTGGCCATGGGGAAGGGGCCGGCAGGCGCCGGGCAGCAGGAAGGGCCAGACTGCCTGGCGCTGGGGCCTGGCAACCAGCCCTGGCACCGGGGGAAGCTCAGCAGATGGTCTCATGGAATTTGGTGGGTGCCAGCGAGTGGGGCGGAGGTGAATCTGGGGAGTGAGGCTGCAACCCCAGCTGTCCCCTCCTGGCCCCTGTGTCCTTTCCCTGGCAATGGCCGAGAGGCTCCACTGTGGGGACCCACGGGTCCTCGCTTTTGCTGACACCCAGAGTCAGGGCGAGCAGAAGGTTCCGTTCTTCAGTGCTTCTCGACTTCTGAACAGAGAGCCCTGCCCTGGACCCTGCTACTGAGACCTGTCCCTGCTCCCTGAACCCCAGTCTTCCAGCCTTTGCTCTGGTCTGCAGGGGGAGGCTGAAAGCAGTGATCACCTCCCCGCCCCCCCCTCGCCTGGGCCCCCCAGGCCTTGAGTCCCCTCCTGTCCCCACACCCCAGCCCACCACCCCTGGTGGGTCCATGAACAGCAGCACGGTTGCGTGAGGGGAGGAGGGTGGAAAGGCAGTGCGAACACAACCATGGCTCCCTTGTCCCGCCAGGCCGACCATTGGAGTCACCGAGTCACCGAGGCTTCTTGTGAGTCCTGGGGTGTCCCGCTGGCTGGTCCTCAACTAGGCCCCAGGATGGTGCTGATGGCGGTGGCTCCTTGTAGCTCCATGCAGAGACTGAAGACACACACACACACACACACACACACACACACACACACACACACTTCCTTTCCTCCACCCCGGAAGGGCGGGAAGTGCAGCTGGGTGGCCCTGCAGCGTAGGTCCCCTGGGAGAAGGCAGGGCTGGGCGCCGGGAGGCTTGTTCCAGGGAGGGCCCGAGCTTAGCGCCTCATGCTCGAGTAACTGTCTGCTGAGCTATAGCTCCGGCTCCGGCTGGGGCTCCGGCTCGGGCTTCGGCTTCGGCTCCGGCTCCGGCTCCGGCTCCGGCTCCGGCTCTGGCTCCGCGAGGCTGGGCTGGGGCTGCTGTTGCGGGAGTTGGAGCTGCAGCTCCTACGGGTCCTGCTCCGGCTGCGGCTCCGGCTGGGGCTCTGGCTGGGGCTCCGGCTCCTGCTCCGGCTCCGGCTCCAGCTCTGGCTGCGGCTGCGGCTGCGGCTGCGGCTGCGGCTGCGGCTGTGGCTGCGGCTGCGGGAGTAGCTGTGGCTGGCGGAGCGGCTGCTGCTGTCGCTGTACCAGGAGGAGGCGCTGCTGAGCCCGCTGGAGGAGGACGGGCTGGGCCGGTAATAGGGGATGGGGCGTTTCCGGGCGCTGCAGAGAGCAGAGAGGGGACAGTGAGGGTCAAATCCTCTCCAGCTCACCCCAGAGGGTCACGGGGCTCCTTCCAGCAACCTTTGATTTCCCCCTGCCCTTGAACACAGAATTCCCCAGTTCCTTCCCCCAGGCCGTTCTGTGGACTCCAAGACGACCAGGCCCTCTGTGCTTGGTGCTCATAAGTCTTGCAAAAGCGACCATCCCCTCCCCATCAGAACCTTAATTGGGGGTTGCTGTTCTCCTTTTACTTGGACTGAGTCCTCCTATTTATAGCAAGGAACTAATTTTTTCACGAACCCGTACTGCTTACATTTCCTTTCAAACACATGTATGACCCTTAAAAAAACAAAAGAGGGTGGAGGATCCAGATTTAAAAATAGTGCAGGAGAGGGCTAGAGTGATCGTACAGCAGATGGGACAGTTGCCTTGCGCGTGGCCAGCCTGGCTTCAATCCCCAGAACCCCAGATGTTCCCTCTAGCATGCCAGGAGTAATCCTTAAGCTCAGAGCCAAGGAGTAAGCACTGAGCACAACTGGGTATGACCTTCCGCCCTGCCACCACACATAGTAACATGCAGGAAATAATAGTCCAGTTAAGGAGCAGACAAAGCAAGGTTGATGGCGGCTCAAGAACATGGAGTGGGTTCTGCGTGGCTGAGTAGGGAGCCCAAGCATGTCCTGGAAATGCTCCTCTCTTTATCTCAGCATTCCTCCAGGTGGACCCCCAAGATGCCTTTGCTTAAAGGGGTGGTGGGGGAACCCCTTTCCTATGTTCTGGGGTGTTCTGTAGGGAGTAACACTGTTCTCTGTAGAGAAGCCAAGACCTCACCTCTCCCATCTTACTGTCCAGTTGCACGTGATCTTTCCCCTTCTCCAGCTCATCTCTGGGGAAAGGCATGAGGCAGTGGGCATTCCCGTTCCCCTGTGCATCCCTGGACCAAGCTGCTGAGTCCCCCTGGTCCTGCAGGCCAGGGGAATGAGCTCCCCACTGTTGTCAGGGCTGCACTCAGATCTCTCCCTGCTTTCAAGCTGGGAGCAATCAGACCCCAGTTCCCTCTTCCAGGGCTTTTCTCCCTGGAGACCCTTCCTGGAGAGCACAGGGCTCTCCTCGGCCTATCTTGGCCATTCTTTTCAGACACCAGCAGGCTGGTTGCGGGGGCCAGGGGCCCACAATTAAGCTTACAAAGCATGTTCATGTCTCTTTGCCAGCCTCACCATCCTCCTAGGAGTTATTTGCTCCACTATGGCATGGGGAAAAAACTGAAGCTCTGGCAGGGAAAGGGCCATTCCCAGGTCACCTGCAAAGTGGCAGAGCCACGATTCCACCCCAAAGACCCAGCTCTGCCCTGGAGAAAAACATCATTCCTATCTAAACCATCCTGTTTGCCTTCTTCCGCCCTTGGTGCGGGGTATAATTACAAATGAGTGTTTTAGAATTGGCATCTCAGCATGTGGGTCTGAGGGCGGAGGGCTCTTGAGACAACCCGACGTTTGGGCTTGCTCCAGTCCTAGGCAAAGCCCTGCGCCCCCCTTGCTTTGGCCCCCCACCCAGGCTGGACCTGGTTCTATCTCTGGTTCAGGCATCAGGAATGTCCTGAGGAGGCTCCACCCACCGGCCACAGCCACGCTGAGGCCCACCACCAAGGTGCAGTGGGTGTGGAAGGAGAGCCAGGGCAGGGAGTGAGGGTGTTGGCGGGGGTCTCACCTGGTGATCCTCCGTGCCTCCAGGTGGCTTGGGGAATCTCTCCGACGCTTCCTCATGGGCGAGTAGGACCGTCGTCTCCTTCGCACGCGCTCTCGTTCCCGCAGTTGCGAGTCCTTGTCACTGTACTTGGGGTCCCGCTCCCTGAGAAAGGGCTGGGGTTACTGGGGACCTGGGACGGCCTGGCTCTTTCTGTGAGAGGGTCTGGGACAGGGGTGCTCTCTCCCTCACCTTTCCCCTCCGGAGTGCCTTTCACCACCACCCCCAGTCTCATAGGCGATGGGGTGTGCATGCCACCCACACCCCATACGGCGGAATCCTGCTGGCTGGGCACTTGTGGGAATGAAGTGTGCATCAGCAGGGGTGTTAGCCTGGGGTGAGAATGGGAACGTTATACAGGCCTGGTGTCTAAGAATTGGGGCGGGCGGGGAGGTGGCGGATACTGAATACTGGGACGAGGGGAAGTATGAGGTGTGTGATGAGGCTGGGGGCGTGAGTCCTGGAGGAGCATTTAGAGTGGAGACCTTAGGAAACGAGGATGCCCTTGGGTGCACTGGTGCTCATGAACCAAGGAAGGGAACTATCAGCACTCTGTCATCTCTGTGGTCCCATTCTGGCGGGACCAACAGAGAACAGGGCGGGGCTTGTGCATCGGGGAGGCGGGGCCAGAGACCTAGGGGCGGCGACTGGGGCGGAGTGGGTGGGCCAGTACCTGCTGGGGCTGTACCGCGAGTAGCTGGGGCTGCGGCGGGACCTAGAGCTTCTGCTAGGTGGGCTCCTCTTGCCAGACTTGGAGGAATAGCTGGGAGAACGCGAGTAGGACCTAGAGGACAGGAGACAGCCCCTTACCAGTTGCCCGCTAGGCTCTGCTAGGTTGACCCCACAATCCTTTTATTCACCTGCTGCCCTCAGGGGTTAGAATCAGACCCTCACTGGACAATAGGATCACCTACCTTTGCCGCTATCTTCCTCTTAACCGAATTCTTACTATCCTGGCCACCTCTTAGCTCTATTAACTTGGACCAGTGATTTTACTTTGCAGAGTCTTTGTTTTCTCATCTTTAAGATGGGGATAATTTCAGAATTTATAATAGAGAGTTGCAGATTGACAGTAAATTAGATTAAATTGCATAGCATATGGCGGACAGTCAACACACGAGAAAGGTTAGCTATGATTAGTATGTGCTTACTAAGTGCCAGATATTAAGCCTTTGTGTGCATTACCAATATTCTGGACACATCTGAGGGTTAGGTATCAATTCCACTGAAGAGAGGGAGAAACAGAGAGAGATAATATCATTTGTTCAGGGTCACTTAGCTGGGACTGAGTCCATGTCAGTCTGGCTATAAAGTGCTCTTGACTTCTGTAAGGCTAAAATTTTTTGTATCCAAATTACAAAACTCTATGATACTTTGTTTTGTATCCAAATTACAAAGCCTATGTTACTCTGTCTTTGTCCCTTTCTGCTATAACCTCCCACTTCTGAAGGACTAACATCTTGGATTCTTCACCAATCTCCCAGGAACATCTGACCTTCTTTCTCATCTCCCTGAAGTCAGCCTTTCGAATAATGTTCATCACTTACGCTGATTATGATCAGACAGAGCCAAGAAGAATGACATAGCCAGGTTTGTGTTCCATGGGGGATAGCGCGGTGATGGATTAGCAATGTCTGCTCTAGGCACAGAGAAGGCTCTCAGAGACAGGTTCCTGCTGTGTGGGCTGGCTTTCCAAGCAGAAATGCTGAAATTTGCTCACCTATTCTTTGCGACCAGAGGAGCCTTGCTATGCGTTTCCTCACCTAGATGCTTCTCAGTCCCTTCCTGCTTTCTGAAGTAATCATAATAATGTTTAATGGTACTCTGGGACTCTGTGCGTACGTGCTGGCCAAGATGATGTAAGCAGTGTGGACAAGGAATAACTTGTCCCATCTAGTGGGCTGGGAAAGTATCCAGTTATGGTCCCTAGAGAATTAGCTCTTGCCAACCTGCTCTTTGGCTCTGAGACACGTTATAAGAAAGAGCTGGGAAGTGGTTTGTCTGACCCATACTCAAGGGGAAATTAGTGCTTTAGAACTCTCTTAGACCAAACTAAGCAGCACAGATCAAGAATTTCTGTGGAAATTGTACAAGGTATCTAGCTTAGTTCCCGAATTGCAAGGCAGAATGCAGTTCATACTCTAAGAGTTTGGTAAATTCTCAGTAAATACCTGATGACTTGATAAATGAATGATGCTCCTTTCACTGGACGACCTGGTTATAGCTATATGCTACAGCCAATAGTGGCTCAAGGTATGAATATTTGGGCTTCTGGTTGCATTTTCCCACCTAAGACATACTAGACAATTGTATAGTCTACCTCTGAGCATATCCCTACAAATGTGGATTTATGAACAACCAGGTAACTCAGAAATATAAAATTCTAGGTCTAATCCCACTTCACATTTTAATTTGTTTGAGGCATGACAGTTTCAAATTTCACCCAATACTCTTTGACCTTCTATAGGCTTTTGTGGGGAAGCACAACTGGTTTTATCTCTCTGTTTTATCTGATATTGAGACATTTAGAATGGAACCAAGTCTCAGATGAGAAGATATCATTTGTATTTACTAAATACCTGGCACAGTTACAGATTATAGGGGACCAGGAGAATTGTGATGTGGAATCTGTCCCCACAAGAGTTCCTAGTCTGGTGGGGGAAACAGGAGAAGTAACAAAGACGCCAATGCGAGTGTTTATTTAAAACTACATGTGGGACAACTGAACTGTGAATGCCAAAAGGACATTGATTAATAGTAAAGGTATATTACTATTATATTATATTATACTACTGTATGTATACACTATTATATTGTATTACCAGTATCCAGCACAGCTCCTGACAATAGGAGAAGTAAATTATTGTTGAATGAGTCAATCAAGGAATTACAGGTTTCATGCTTAGTTGGATAATGCTATGATAAAGAAAATAGAAGACACCAGAAGAAACCAAGTTAAAGACCAGTAATTGGTGACAGTGTGTAAGGTTTTAAGGCAGAATTTTACCACAAAATCAAACAATAACATAAATAACACCTGCAAAAAATAAATAAAAAGCAATTACTGGGTGTGTCTCCAAAACAAGCAATCAAAAAAAAAAACCCCAAGAACCACAAACAAAAACATGTTCTCAAATACTTTGAAAGGATGGTGGCAGGCATTCCCATCTTTTCTACCAGTTCCCTTTGTTTCGGCACCATCTGAGTTATATTGCAGAAAGGTAAGAAATAACTGGTCTCCTAAACAAATGCATCAATTCTTGAACTTTATTGGTTAGTATTACAACAATTAATAGGGCCATTTCCGTTTTGGCTTCTGTGCCAGGCAGTTCAGAATCATATTTACAGGCTACCACCATAGCAAATTACATAGAATGGTCGGACATAATGTTCGGAACTAACCTCTTTTGTATTTCTTTTGGTTTTATTCTAATTCTCTTTTCTGTTTATGTCACTTTAATACTTTTCAGCTACCTTGTCTTTTAAAAAAACAAACTTGATCCTAAAGTAACCAATTAAGCAATTAATTTTTGCTCACATGTTGCAAAAACCAAACAGTTGGCAATTAATTCCTAATGGTAGAGGGACATGAACTCTGTGAAGTCATGGGTTGATTATGGAGTCTTCCAATTCCTAAAATCTCCACCTGTGTTTCTGCTACATTATTTTTCCACATGAGAAAATCAAGTGCATGCCAATAATTATTGGGGGGAAAAGCCACACAGTACAAAAGTGAATGCAATCCCCCCTGTATCCAGTGCCCTTAGCAATGTGGTCTGACAGCTCTTTTCACTAAGAGGAAAATCCCTTGCATCGGGGTTAGTTTTGTGAGCTGCTGTAAAAAAGAGAATGGCAGGAAAGATGTCAGGTCTCTTCCAGGCCTAGGCTCGAACAGCTATGCATGACAGTTCTCTTTTTCTTGGAAGCCCTGCCATTGCCATGAGAACATGCCCCAACACACCTGCTGGAGGATTAGAGACCACACAGCAGAGATGAGTCAGATGGGATCGTCCAGACCAGCTATCCCCCAGTCAGACCACAGCTGGTGGCAGACGTACATATTAGCCCCAATGAGGGTAGAAGAACCACTCGGTTGAGCTCAGTCCACACCCGGCTGAGCCCAGCTCACAGCACTGTGAGCTCAGTGAATACTAGTTACTTAAGGATGCTAAGTTTGGAGGTAGTTTTGGCATGGAGCAGGGGATAATGGATACACACATGCTCTTCTTCACACCAAGAGCAAGAATAACAAACACTACTCATGACAATCCAAGTAGAGCTAAGTGCGTTGTAGCTTAGAACACTCTTTGGGGGAATGATTATTATTGCTTTCATCTTGCAGATAGTATCCTGAAGTTCCTGAGAGGGCATTAACTGACATGCCCCTAAAGCTACCAGCTAGGAAGAGGTAGAAAGTTTTTTTTTACCAAACTCAAGTTGGACTTCTCCTTCTGGGGCACAGGACATTTTCAATGACCTCCTGACTAGCTCCCTAGGGAGGAGAAGCGCAAAACTGCACTCACCTTTTTCCAGAGGAGGTGGATCTGCTCCGGGTGTACCTGGGGGAAGCCCTGGGCTTGGGTGGTCCAGAGGAGTGGCTGGAGGAGCGAGTGCTGGCATAGGACGAGCTTCGGGAGCAGCCTCGAAGGGGCGTGCTCGGAGCTGTGGCCTGGACCACGGTGCACTTCTTCACCTCTGTGCATTCCAGACAGGGTGACTGCAACCCTCTGCTGTGAGGTGGTAAAGGAGAAGGTGGGTTAGCAGTGAGATGCCTTCTGCGCTGGGATTTCTCAAGCCAACACCTTTGTCTTTGTGAGGCTGTAAACCACTGCTCCCTGGCCAGTGGGCCTGGGCATGAGGGTGGGAGGAAACATCATGAAAGCACCTGATGAGATATTTATTCCGGTTGAAGTCTTTTCAAGTCATGTGTGTTGTTTGTTTGTTTTCTAAAAAAGCTCCACTGGATTTGTTAAACCTCCTCTCCTAAAACCTAGAATTTCTTTTTTCTTTCTTTCTTTCTTTCTTTCTTCCTTCCTTCCTTCCTTCCTTCCTTCCTTCCTTCCTTCCTTCCTTTCTTTCTTTCTTTCTTTCTTTCTTTCTTTCTTTCTTTCTTTCTTTCTTGAATCACTATGAGATAGTAACAAAGCTTTCATGTTTGAATTTCAGTCACACAATGATCGAACACCCTTCCCTCCACCAGAGCTCATCTTCCACCACCAATGCCCCCAGTATCTCCCCCATCCCAACCCTTCCCCTGCCTCTATGGCAGACAATTTCCCCATACTCTCTATCTCCTTTTGGGCCTTATGGTTTGCAATATAGATACCAAGAGGCTATCACATTTGGTCCTTTATCTACTTTCAGCACACATCTCCCATCCTGAACGATTCCTCCAACCATCATTGACTTAGTGATCCCTTCTCTATTCCAACTGCCTTCCCCCCCAGCTCAGGAGGCACGCTTCCAACTATGGAGCAATATTCTTGGCCCCTTACCACCTATAATTTCTTAAAGAGAGAGAGAGGGGGCATTGGGCTCAGAGGCTCGAGGAAGCAACTGGAAAGAAACACTGAATGTTTCTCTCATTTTTTCTTCTCTCAACTATATTTTATTTGCTATTTTTATTGAAGTCATGTGGTTTATAAAACTACCTGTTTCAGGGATCCAATTTCATGCATCTTCAGAATATGTGTTATCATATTGCAATTATTGCCAAAGTTCTACTTCCTCCTCTATATATCAGTCTTTGAACCCCCCTCCTCCCATTCTATCCCCCCAACCCTCCCTCAAGCTCTGACCTCAGCACTCCCAAGGTTGTTCTGATTGGTTTTGTTTATTCCCTAACTTTGCTTCTCTATATTTCATGTATGAGAAAGACAGATAATGTGCCTTCCTCCTGACTTTGAAATCTATTGTTTATTTTATCTTATTTATTTGTTTTGGCTTTTGGACCATACCCAGCAGTGCTCAGGGCTTATTCCTGACTCTGCACTCAGAGATCACTCTTGGCAGTGCTCAGGGAACCATATGGGGTGCCAGGGTTCAAACCCATGTCTGTCACATGCAAGGCAAAATTGCCTTACCTGCCGTACTAACACTTAGACCCAAAATTACTATTTTAATCATGTATTTTTACTGGTGCCTTCTGATGAGAGCAAGAGATACTAAGTTTCTATTCTGGTGGATTTCTATTTTAAAAAAAAACACAGAATTTCTAAGAGCATTAACATCATAAGAGTATGGATGTGTAAAATCAAGGTGACTTGTAATCCCTTTAGGACTGTAGGGTAGTCCCACTTTTCAGATGGGGGAATTGAGACCCAAAGTGTAGACACTTTTCAAAACCACTGAAAGAACTCAGTCCTGGTTCTGCACTCCTGCTCTGCCAGCAGCAGACTGGGTGCCCTCTGGGTTCTCCAGATATGTTCATTGGGACCAAGGGTCAAGTTCAAACGTAAATTTGGTTTCAAGGCTCATCATGACCTGACACCTTTTTCCCCCTTCTACTTTCAGCTTTTGCTACTTGACTTATCCATCATGGACCACTTGTTCCTCTGGAATATCCTTGTCCTTGTCTTGTCTCCAGGCCTTAGAACACTCCCATCATGTGGAAACTTCTCCCTCTCCTCTACTCTGACAGCTCCTTCTCAAGGTTCGGGCTTCAGTTCAATTTGACCTCACCTTTTTTTTTTTTACTTTTTGGGTCACACCCAGTGATGCTCAGGGGTTATTCCTGGCTCTGAACTCAGGAATTACTCCTGGCAGTGCTTGGGGGACCATATGGGATGCAGGGGATCGAACCCAGGTCGGCCGCATGCAAGGCAAATGCCCTACCCGCTGTGCTATTGCTCCGGCCCCTGACCTCACCCTTTTGGGAAGGCTTTCTTGACACTGTCCTAAGTCTCACAGGTAACGTCCACAGACCCGTTCTGTCCCCAGATCACTACCAAGTTCACTTGTTTCTGTAAAGACTCTTCCTCCCCCAAACACTGGCCTTGGGGTGATGGGACTCTGGACACTATTCCAGAAGCTAGTCTCAAACCTGATGTGTCAATCCTAATTCATCCATAAAATCTCCGGAATGAACATTTTGAGCCTCTTAGTGTCCTAAATGTTATATGAGCATCTCACTCAGACCTCCTTGAACCTTACAAAGCTGGCACTATTATCATCTGTCCTATAGAGAAGACTCAAAGGATTAATCATTTACTTAAGGCCACCCAAAGTCTCAGACCCTGAGCTACCCAGCTCCAAAGTCCACACCCCTACTATCACACTGAACTCCAGAATCAACAGTTCACGTAATGGAGAGTCATATCTCTTGCCCGCCCAGGTCCCCGCTCCTAGCCAACACGATGACATACAGAACCAAGAATTTCAAGATCACTTATATTTCAAAGTAAAAGTCAAGTCTCAATTATTTAGCATGGCTGTCCACTTGGGTCCAATTAAGCAGGCAACTGCAGAGCACATCTCAGGCTCCATTCCAGAGAGAGAACTGTGTTTAAATGCTGGTGCTGGTCCTGAAACTGGGTTTCTTAATGACTTTGAGTCTCAATGTTTACCATCCAAAAAGGGGGGGGGTGATCATAGTAACCTACTCCATAAAGTTTTTATGAAGAGTTAAAGAAAATGAGACATGACCGGCACTTGATTTGGAACTTGGCATATAATAAGTAGTGAGTTAATGGCAGTCAACAGGACTGTTATGATTGCTACAACTCTTATGTATTTCCTGCATATCAGATGATGTGAGTCCTATCTCTCCGAGCTGGGAACTTCACTACCTATTCCTGTTGACATTGACATTTGCTCTGACCCAGATGTCCTGGATTCTCACCAAACTTGGGTGTGAGCGGAGTCCAGGGATGTTCCAGGACAGGCAAACTGGGGCCAGGGCTGACCTGTGAATGCCAAGCTCTTTGGCCAGTACTGGAGGAGGCTCTGTGTTGGGGACAAAAGGAGCGCTGTCCTGGAAGAAGCACTTAAAAGCTCCAAGGCTAAGATTTTGGCTAACCTAGGACAACCAAGCCTTCTGGGTCTGGAAGCTGACTCCAACTTCCTGAAGAAGGAAGACTTAAGTCTGGTAAAGAGCATCCCATTTCCTGGCTTACCTCCTTCTTTTTCTGCATGCAACCCATTCCTTGTGAAATGGGGAAGCTCACAAGAGAGGGCCATGTCTTTTTTGTTTCTGCAGCAACAAGTTGAGGCTGGGCAGGTAGGAAGGGCCTGAGAACAGGCTGAGAGATTGGTAACTGAGTTAACACCACAAAGTAAGTGATCAGCGAATTTTCATAGCTGTCATTGTGATAGGAACTCAGTGATGAAGCATTTTGCTCTGATTTTCTTGAGTAAGGGCATGCTGAAGAATTATAACTGGCTCATAAGTCACTGCATGGAAGGGTTTTCTGTAGGAAAACCACGTGAATACAGATAGCAAGTGGTAAGATGGGCAACCAAGTAAAGTCTTGTTGACTCATCTTTATCTGTATGTGTATGAGATTATAGAGATATTGTGATGCTTCTGTACTTCTTGACCCATGGGCAGCATGGCTAGGAACTTGGAAAACATGCCTAGAATCGACTTCTATGTGCATTTATCTCAGCAAATGTATCTAGCCTCCAGATCCATGGTTCCGTTTTTATGGATTTTAGCAAAGGAGAATGTACCTACAATAAAAAACTGAGATACCAATGCTGGAGCAACAATACAGCGGGTAGGCATTTGCCTTGCACATGATTGAACTGGTTTTGATTCTTGGCACCCCATATGGTCCCCTGAACCCACTACGAGTGATTTCTAAGTGCAGAGCCAGAAGTAAGCTCCAAGTACTGCTGATTGTGCCCCTCCCCCCAAAAAACAAAACTTTAATAAAGACAGAGATACCAAGTTATGAATTTTGGTGACTTGGAGATGGAGGAGTCCTGGAACCAGTCCTTAGTAAATACCAAGGGGTCTCTGGGAGTTAAATTTTGGAGGAGTCAAAAGTTTCATGTGGAGGGGCCAGAGGGGCTGGAGTGATAGCACAGCGGGGAGGACATTTTCATTGCACATGGCCGACCTGGGTTCGATAGCCGGCATTCCATATGGTCTCCTGAGAACCACCAGCAGTGATTCCTGAGTGCAGAGCCAGGAGTGGCCCCTGAGCATTTCCGGGTATGACCCAAAAAGCAAAAAAATAAAAATAAATAAAGCAAAAGTTTTCGTGTGGATTTTTTTACTGCTTTCTGTTGCTAAACTTTATTACATCATCGATTAAGTTTATTAAAAATTGTTTTTAAATTGTATTTGAGACACCATAATTATCATATTGTAAATGGCATGAATTTATGCATACAATGTTCCAACCCCACACTCTCCACCTGCATCTGCTTCCCTCCATCATTGTCTCAGTGTTATCCCCCACCTGTACTCCCCCCCCCATCTCCCACGATGATAAACTCAGTTCTACATGGATTTTGATTATACCAGAGTCAGATCCCCTAACACCTGCACTATTCAAGAATCAATAGTATATATATTTTTATATGTGTATATACATCTATATTTGGGCTGGAGCGATAGCACAGCGGGTAGGGCGCTTGCCTTTGCACGCAGCCAACATGGCTGACGCGAGTTCGATTCCTCCACCCCTCTCGGAGAGCCCAGCAAGCTACTGAGATTATCTCGCCCACATTGCAAAGCCTGGCAAGCTCCCCGTGACGTATTTGATATGTCAAACACAGTAACAAGTCGCACAATGTTACTGGGCCCACTCGAGCAAATCGATGAACAATGGGAGGACAGTGACAGTGATATCTATATTTAAATTATAAACTTATAAAAAAAAGTGTTGTATTTGGTTCATGGAAAACCTGAACAGAAACAAATTCTTCACATACGTGTGGCTCTCCTGTGAACTGACTCTTCAGCAGAGGGGGCATTTGATACTATCTTGGAGCTGATACTCATGCATTGCTATCACCCACACCATAGTGTACAGAAGGGCACACACTTGTGAACCCAACCATTATAGCCATATGGAATAGTTTCACAGATCTGCTCTTGACCTGTTCATTTTTCTAACCTGTTCATCATTTTTTTTCTTTTTGGGTCACACCCTGTGTTGCAAAGGGGTTACTCCTGGCTCTGCACTCAGGAGTTACTCCTGGCAGTGCTCAGGAACCATATGGGATGTTGGGAATCAAACCCAGGTTGGCTGCGTGCAAGGCAAATGCCCTACCCTCTGTGCTATTGCTCCAGCTCCTAACCTGTTCATCTTGACCTCTTCTGCTCCCTAACCCTGGACAACCATTGAGCTCTCCACTGTCTCCAGTTTAGCCTTTTCTAGAACGTGCCATAGAGTTAGAGCCATTCAGGAAGGGAGCCACTTTCACACAGAAATGTGCATTTAAGGTGACTTTATGTCTTTTCACGACTTGACACCTCATTTCATTGGAGCTCTGAGTAATATTTCCTTGTCGAGATGTACCAGTTCATTGATCCATTCACCTCTGGGAGGGTACCACGGTAGCTTTCAAGTTTTGACCATTATGTATCAAGGTGCTATAAGCAACTCAGTGCAGTTTTGGCTTTTGTGTGGGTCTAAATTTTCAGTGCATTTGGGACAATGGTATATGTTTAAAGGACAGTGATTTAAGATGCGGGTCCCAGGGCTGAGATCTCCAAGCCTACTCGGATCGGGGCTGAGCATCCTCCACCCAGATCCTCCAAATTCCAGTAGGCAGGGGTCACACCCACCAACTGGTCCCCTGGCGCCGTGTAATCCCATCAACGGCCAAGACTTAGAGACTTAGAGACTATAAAACCCAACTCCCGGACATCTTATAATGACATTTTATTATCTCATTCCTACTTTGGACAAACTGGCAGGCTACCGAATGTAACCTGCCCACACGGCAGAGTCTGGCAAACTCCCCGTGGCGTACCCAATATGCCAAATACCAGTAACAATGATGGGTCTCATTCTCCTAACCCTGAAAGAGCCTTGAATATGGCACTTTTTAAAAAATCTCAGGGCTAGGACAAAGGAGACTTATTGGGGCCTGCTCGAGGCAATCGACGAATAACAGGATGGTCGTGATTTAAGATGATTTAAGATGATCTGAAAGGGTCATTTTTCTCCTGAGATTATGGGTTTCATAAAGGATTAAAGGACATCTGTTTTTGCCAGTTCCAGCTCTACCCTTTCTCATGATATCGGCACCTAGGCTTTCCTGGTTCTCTTCCTGTCAGAGAACCAAGCCACCCCATGGATGTCTTGACACAACATTCCCCAGGTCAGAATGATTGATCCAAGTAATTCAAGCGAAACCAAGCAAAGTGATTAAGCACCAGCATTGATACTTAACTGAAATTTTGGGGAAAGAGGTATTTTCACTGAGTGACTAAACCATTAGGAAATTTACCACTGTTCTGGGAGGGTCTGATTGATAACTAAGCAACAGAGAGGAAAGCAGAGCTAAGATACAACTGGAAAGGCAGACTCCCAGTGATACGTATTTAGAACCCCTGGATTCAGCTGTACCTGAAGCTGCTCGTCCTTGGACTTGTAGAGTGTTCAAGGGTCAGAGAGACAGCTCACTGGACTGAGTGCATACTCTGCATGCAGGATGCCTGGGCTTGAGCCCCAGACAGCATGGTCCCCCAAGAACTGCCATGAGTGGCTCCCTGAGCATGGCTAGGTGTGGTCCCCAAAGAAAGAAAATAATCATGCATTTTCCTCTCTCAGGAAGGAAAGACTCCCGGATCAGGGTCATGTGGGGTTTGAGCGAGAGACCGAGACTGAGGCTGACATGGGTTCCCAAGCAGAGGTACTCACCTTGACTCTCTGCCCTTGCTGGTGGGGGAGAGATTCTCCAAAGTGGCCCCCTTGTTCTGGGGTGAGGAGGTGGTGAAGGAGTTCCCCGAATCCGAGGTGTTGCCACTGTGAAGCTCCCGGCTCTTGCTCAGGCCCTCAGCGGGGCTCCCCTTGTCCTGTCCCAGGGATCTGGCAGAGCTGGTCTGCGTGGAGGGCGGCGAGGAGGTGTCATTGCCAGAATCATACTCCTGGGAGCGTCCTCGAGACGTGGCAAGTGGGCTGGCTGTTTTGGTAAAGAAGTCAGCAGCAGACCCCGACCCAGTGATCTGAAAGCAAAAACACCCATCGGATACTGCTGATTGCTGGGCCTAGGGGCTGTGTCTAAATAACCAAGAAATGTTTACCATCATGATGCACTGTAATGAAAGGAAAGAGAGAGAGAGAGAGAGAGAGAGAGAGAGAGAGAGAGAGAGAAAGAAACGCCAAAAAAAAGCCAAAAAAAAAAAAGAAAAGCACAAATTCCTGAAAAAGTACCACAGAAAGAAGATTTGTTTTTTTTTTTTGTTGCTGTTATTTTTTTTTTACCCCCTGCTAATATAACTTGGAAATTTTAGGTATCATGCAGAGAAAAAAAGCATGCGATCCAGATTCAACAAAAGAAAAAAAGGAAATGATACAAAATTTTAACTCTAATGAATTAACTCAAACAAAAGAGACAACTTAAGAGAAAGGGGAAGGGGCGTGTCAACACCCTGAACCTAAAAAAAATAATAATAATTCAAATGAAGGGAGGGAAAGAAATGGGGGCTACGGGCCTAAAAAATAGACCTTGAAACTTAAAAAGCAAACAAAGTAAAAAAGAAAAAAAAGGAGATAAAGCCAAACTTTGAAATGTCAACCAAATTTATAATGAATTTGACTTTTTTTTTTATTTAAGAAAACGTCTGCAGAGAAGCCTACATAAATAGAATGCGGGGGGGAAGAAATGAAATAAGGATGAGAGGTTTTTTTTTAATTTAAATAATATCGAGTCAAGGTCACAAAATGGCATTTTTCGAGTTTTCAACTCAAGGGGAACAGAAAAGGGGGCAGGGACACAAAAATAAAAATGGGCGTCAAATAGTCTGACTGAAAAGCAACGAAAAAAAGCTCTCTACGGAGAGTCTGTGTGTGTCCGTTCCCCCTGGAGAAGGAAGAAGCTAAGGCTCTCAGTGGCTTCTAATAAATTCTCTCAAGTCTTTGCGGATCATATCCACTTACCAAGCAAGAACTCCTCCTTTAGTAGGTAGGTAAGGTGTAAGAGAAAGGGAAGAGCGGGCAACGTGAGTCCATCATTAGAGTCGCAATTGACAAGAAAACACACACACCTTTCTGTACATCCTCACACCTGGCTCTGAGTTCTGATTTTTCCACCGTCTTAGGCAACGGCCTCTGTTCAACTGGGTATTTGCTTTATTTTCACTCACGCAGGAGACCTCCAGTCATCAACCCTGGACAGTGCCCTCTTGCCCAAGTTGGATGGACAAGCCCTTGCTGGATAGACCACAGGTTCGGGGGGACACCTGTAGAGAGTGTGCTGGCCACACAGAGCATTGGAAGGGGCTGAGACAATTGGCTTGGGGAGGTAACTGTGAGGTGCTTCCCGGGATAGTGTGTGTGTGTGTGTGTGTGTGTGTGTGTGTGTGTGTGTGTGTGTGTAGGGGAGAGTGGAGTGGGGCTATACGATACAGGAATCCAAAGAAGTAATTTCCTTCAGAAGGCAATGGCATACTTAGCAGCCCAATGAAAGGGTTCCTTGAATTGTTTTGTTTAAACCGGTCTCCTGCTGCTGGAGGCCACCTTGGGATGGGTCCAGCTCCCACCAAAGAGACCATGTTCAGTTGTGGACAAGAAGGACCCCTGCCTTGGGCCTCTGCCAGTGATAACCATTCCCAAGGGTGAGAAATCTGTGGTGTCAAGAGGACACCCCTTGGAAACCACAACCATCTCCCACCCCCTGGAAGGCTCCTGGGTTCCCAAGAATCCAGAATTGTGTGTGTTTGTGTGTTTGTGTGTGATCTGTCCCCCCCCACCCCCAGGAATAGATCATGCTTCACGTGTGTGTTCCTAGATCTGAAGGCACTGCTCCTGCAGGGTGTGGGCTGGTACAAGAGGCAGGAGTAGACAGAGAGAATCCAGGGCCTCTGGGATGATTCTGTCCACCCCGCGGTGCTGTAAACTGGGCTTTGCAGTGGGGAGCCGGAGTTTTCAAATGTGACTTTCCAGACCTCTTTGAAGGTATGCTTGCTGAGAGAGAGCATATTTCACTTGAGCTTGTTGGTTGGATTTAGAAGCATGTAGGTAGATAGAGCATGGACCCCACACACATTATAGACCTCACCATCAAGAGCCAGCTTCCCATCACCTCATATTTATCCGTTATGCTTTGGGCCTAAAGCAGGGCTGGGGACTTGTGGGCTTTCTCAAGGAACTCTTTCTTTTCCACAATTGGCCCTGAAGGTGAGACAAAGAAATTCCAGAACTGCATGAACTACAATAAGAACTCTAGCAGCTCAGAGCATCACTTCCTGGAACTGGGAGGCAGGACTTCCTCTGTGGATTCTCCCAGGAAGCTTTACACACAGGCAAGGTGATGCTCCAGTTGGACCAAATCCTACCCAGGGCAGCAACTGCTTCCTCTGCTTGGCCATCTGACCTGCTTTACTTTTAGGAGAAGGGACCTCAATGAAACAATGTCGCCTACGTGGAGTTTTCCAGAAGTCAGCTTCGTTTAAAATAAGATACAGGCATTGTTTAGCTTCAGCACCCCTCTTTATTTTTATTTTTTAAAAATCGAATGTGGGGAAATGGGGAGTGGCCTTTCAAGTGGTTCTTGGGATGCCCTGGGGCCCCCCTGGCAATTCTTGGCCACCAGGTCTGTGATTTAATGCGAGGAACCAAGGGTGCAATGCTGCTCAGGCCTGATAGTGCCTGGGAGACACAAACACCTTGGTAAATCTTGGAGACCACCAGGACGGCACCTGGTAATATAGTTCCAGGGATGGAACCTAGGCTGGACACATACTAAATGCACACTAACCACTGGCTTCAACTCCCCCCCCCCCCCGGCTTTTTTTTCTTTTTGGGTCACACCCGGCGATGCACAGGGGTTACTCCTGGCTCAGGCACTCAGGCATTACTCCTGGCGATGCTCGGAGGACCCTATGGGATGCTGGGAATCGAACCTGGGTCAGCTGCAAGCAAGGCAAACGTCCTACCCACTGTGTTATCACTCCAGCCCCTCTCCCCCTTTTTTACCATTCAGTTTGAGGTTTGAATGCCATAGTTTTTCCTCCTTTAGGAGTTCAGTAGTGACACAGGTAGCACTATTGCCTGGGCCAGGAAGGAGAATGCATCATGCCATGCACTCAGACCTGAGCTTCTAGGTGGGAGTTTGGTCAAGGGGTAGGTCAGGGAACCTTGAGAAAGAGCCGATGAGTGACAGCCAGCACCTGACAAGGGACTGAGACCAGCCCTTCTTGGACCCCAGGTAACCCCAGCGACAGAGTCTGGAAGAGTTAAGGCGTCCACGAGCAGTCACTTGCTCAGGGGCAGATGAGCTGAGACTTTTTCTCGAGGGTCCGTGTTCACAGCCCTGGTGCATGCTGGGTCCCCGTGTGCAAGTATTTCCCAAGTGTGAGTACTTGGGACTTGGAGCTCAAGCCCATACTGAGCAGAGTACACAGGGCCACAATCCCAGGGTCTCCCCTCGATCAGGAGCGTCATCCACATGCATGTGTGATTCCAGCAGAGAGCTCTGGGAGACAGCGTGTTTTTTTGCTTTCCAGAACCACTGGGAGACAGGTAACAAGGCAACAAAGATGCTGCTAAAATGCTCTCCTAGGGTTGACCTAGTGCAGGCAAAGCTAGTTTGCCCTGGTGGCTGAAAAGCCCCATTTCTTGGGGTGAATCTATTCTCAGTGTTCTTTTATAAATCAGCCCAACACACTTCACAAGCTTGTCTTTTTCACACCTTCTCACAGTGACCCCCACAACTTAGCTCCATCCAGGAGGGTGTCCTTGGTTCTGTCACATCTTACTCTCCTCAACCCCATGTCACTGGCTCATGCCACTTCTTTCTCCCCCACTTCATGTGGCGGAATTCATTTGTCTTCCACCTTTCATACTATCCCTTCTAGTTCAGCCTTCTCTGATTCCCACGGGCCAGGATCAAACACAACACACTAGTCTTGATACTGTCACTCAATCTCCGCTCCACTCACCCATTGACGAGTCTTGCCTTCTGTGTGTGATAGCCCTGAGGCCCAGGAGGCTACTGCTTATGCCATAGCCTGCCCCGCCAGCTGGCTGGTTAAAGGCAGAAGCCGCACATGATTGGTCGGTGTGGTACGGAAAGACCCACCAGTGCCTGGCACAGGAAACATTCTCAGACAATCTTCCCCAGTCAATAAAGCTGCTCCCTAATAGTCCTATGGAAGCCTGGACCTTAATTTCCTGGAACTTAATTTACTGGTGAGATGCCCAGGCAATCAGGTGAACTTCCGGCTAGGGGAATTGGGTGGTTTTTAAAGAAGGGACTAACCTCCATCACGTTCAGATTAGCTCTAGGGTCTAGAGACAGAATCAGGGATGACTTAGGAGCTAGAAAGAGCCCTTACAACTTTGGCGAGGTGAGAAGGGGAAGAGCACCCTCTGCTCTTTCTTCTGGGGCTCAGATCCAGGACCCTTTGAGAAAACACAAGGGCTCTGGTGAAAGATTCTCAGCTGCCTGGGTCCAGGCAATAGCAAGAGGTCCCAGATCCCCAAAGCCTTCCCCAATGAAGTCTCCTGTCTTCCTCTGCTACCCTCTGCTGCTCTCAAGGTTGAAAGGTGGATGGGATTGGCTCTTTGCCCACTCCTGGGCCACTAGGTCACATAGTGATTTTCTTCAGATTACCTCGAGGGGCTCCTTCTGGGTCAAGAATGAGGAAAAGGCACTCCCTCTGGTCAGAGAAATTGGAAAAAGATCCAGAAGTCCAAGGTATGACAGGTGATTTGTTCTGGGACACAGGAGGGTATGAGCCACAGGGGTGTTCAAATCCTTGTAAAAATGACACAATTTCTTGTGTGCTTATAACCTATGTTTATCTTCCTATATACTTTAAATCATCTTTAATTTCCTAATAATACCAAAGACGATGCAAATGCCAGTCCCATTCTACTCTACTCTTAAGGAAACAAGACAAGAAAGAATACGTTATATTCTGTGGCGCATAGCTGTAATCATTATAGCCCTGACTCCATGGTGAACATTTTCAAGTAGAACTCTCAGAGACTCAAAACTCAC